TGGGGCAGAACAGAACGGACAGACGGGCACCTGGGAGAACTCCTGGCGGGTACTCTGAGGACTGGGACCCTCTTATATGACTTCCAGGTGATGCCCACGTGACCCTATGTGGGCAGGGGTCTGTGTCATATGTGAGGGCACTATTGTGTGTATGTGCAGCATGGAGCAGTGGAGGGCGGTTTGATTACAGTCTGCAGCCCCAGGAAACCATAAACTCTCAAAAACAGGAGCTCTGTTTTCCTCATTGCTGACCCCAGCACCTGGCTCAGGGGTTGTGAGGAGGTGTGTGTGGGGCCTGCTTGTAGCCATGCCTGTGAGCCTGGGTGAGGTCTTATACCTGGGCCCAGGGCCTGTCCTCAGCATTGTATCCTCATGGAAGGAGCCACCAAAGGCACAGACCTCACACTCTCTGACACACTCAGCTGGGAGGGGAGCAGATCCAAGAGCTGTTGCCCAATTAGAAATAAGAAGATGCCCAGTCCTGAAAGCTTGTGAATAATTCTGCTTTAAAGAGATGAAGGACGTTAGGCTGGGGAGCCCTGGCTGGGCCAGCAGTGGGTGGGCCCAAGCTTTGTGTGACTACAAGGGCTATTTCAGGCCAGGAGAGCAGATGGGTCTGAGGCTCAGAGATCAGACCGAGGACCCTCTAGGCGGGGTGGGTGTCACAGGAGTAGGTCCTGTGGAAGCAGCTTTCTCCAAGTCAGAGCAAGGCAGACTCCCTGAGGGCGAGTGAGCTTCCTGTCGTCGGAGGGTGCTGGTGCTGAAGACGGGAAGCTGTGTTCTGATTACCTGTGGGCCTACTGAGTGACAATCTTTTAAAACTATATAAGTACATATATATTTAAATGTTTTTATTGCCTTTTTTTTTTTGAGAGAGAGAGAGAAACATTGATGTGATAGAGAAACATCCATCAGTTGCCTCCCATATGCACCCCAACCAGGGATTGAACCCACAACCTGGGTATGTGCCCTGACAGGGAAGTGTACCAGCAACCTCTCCATGCACAGGACAACACTCAACCAACTGAGCCACACCAGCCAGGGTTTAAAGTATAGTTTTATCTTGAAATAATCTCAAACTCAAATATGTGTCAGGCACTTTTAATCCAATGCAGTTTAGAAAATATGTATGTATTGAGCCCTGGGGATACAGCAATGGGCAAAGTGGTTAGATTCCTGTCTTGTGGAGCTGACACTGTTGGGGGAGCAGGTAACAAACAGGTGTATAGACTATTGTCTCCAGTAGCAGTGAATGTGAGAGAGGAAATGCAGGCAGGTAAGCTGATGGAGGAGGTTGGGTGTAGGGGATGGGCAGGGGAGTTTTAAGGCAGGTGGTCCTGGAAGGCCTCTCTGAGGAGGTGGCATTTACCAGAAACTGCAATGAAAGTGATACCGTGGACCATGGAGCTATCTGGGGGGAAAGCAATCTGGGCAGAGGGAACAGCAAGTGTGAAGACCCTGAGGCAGGAAAAGGACTGCCCTTTTTGAGGAAAAGAAAAGAGGCCAGTGAGGTAGATACATACAGTTCAATTTAATGCCACAGCTCTCCCAGACTGGGGCCATTGACCATGTTACACAACTGGAAACAGAGGCACGGAGAGGAGCCACACAGCTGGCAAGTGGCTGAGCCAGAATTTCATCCAAGTTATTGACTCCAAAGGATTTGCCTTCAAAATAATTAATAATAATAATAATATTAAATAATTGCAGCTAAGGTAGGTGTGCCCCTGGGAGTACACGTGTGTGTCTGTGTGAAGCACCAGTATGTTGGCAAGTCCTTGTTTCTTGGGGGCTGGAGTGGAGTCAGAAAAGGAGGTGATTCTAGGTTTCAGGGTTGAAGCTGACTGTGACAGGGTTTCTGTCACTATTAGCTTCCCAGGCTGGGAAGAGAGGAGTGTGGGCATGACCAGCAAAGGTGCTGGGAGTGCCATTGGACGGGGACCTAATCAGATTTTGCTCAGCCGTGCATGGCAGCTCCTAGCCCAGTGTCTGGCATGTAGTAGGTGTCCAATAAGTAATGGGAAGTGAAAGAAAATGGGAGCAGACTGTTCCAGGGAATGACAAAAAGCAGGGGGTGTGCTCAGAGGATAACCTCTGGAGCTGAGATGGGAGAAGATGCTGGGAGGCCTTGAGCCTGGGGCGAGGCTGAAGCCTGACAGAGAAACCTGGGGAGGAATCCATCCCACGTCTAGATGTAGAGCTGGGATGAACACCCCTGGTGAGGGTGCTCAAGGCCCAGAGGTGGGCCTGGGTGCTGGTTCTCCCAGGGGAGCTTGTTAAAGGCTTCTTCTAGGAAGCCAAAGGGCATCACCCCAACATCTTTTGGGGTTGCAAAGTCCTCTGGTGCTGCAAGTGCCCTGGTCAGGAGAACACAGTAGGTGAGCTGGATGCTCAGCTGCACCTCCAGCCTCAGCCCAGGCTCTGGCTGGGTCCCACCTCCAGGAGCCCCTGGGACAGGCTGGCAGCTGGAGGTCCCCTAACCACATTACTCAAGGGGCAGGAGAGTCCCGAGATGCACAGAAGGCCGAACCCCAGCTTCCAGTCCTGCAGGGACTAACTTCATCAAAACCCCTACTACAGCATTAACCACCTGACCTCTGCCCCTGCCGACCTGCTAATTTCACCAATTACTGGCCAGCCGAGCTTGTATCAAGTGGGCCTGCTTAGCTCTGACAGCTGCTGGGAAAATCCAGTTACGGCTCAGCAGCCCAGGTGGTTGCATGTTCCTGGGGTTGGGTGCCCAGCAGAGATCTGGGTGCTTGGAAGGCACTGGTGTTCCTGAACACGCCAGGGACCTCAGGGCCAGGGCTCCCT